CCTCTTCAGTATCCCCCGTTCAGTGCAGGAAAATGTCTGGCTCATGAGAATTTGGTGAAGCTTCTCCACGGTTGGAAATCTTTGGGAATGGAAAATGTCAGTGTCCCAAACAAAAGTCTAATAATGGCAATGCATTATTATGAGAACAGCTTGAAACCAAATGTATATGAAGGACAAAAATCATGTGGGTATATAGACAATATTCTTTTTCTTAGATATTATATTGTTTTAATTGCCTTTCTTAAATCTTTTTTTAAAATCTATCTTATTGCTCATTCACGTGGGAGACACTTAAGGTACTAATTGTCCTCATCATGTAATCTTTGATATGGACAAAAAGTTCAAATATTTATTATATATTATATATATATGTATATGTATATGTATATGTATAGTTTAATATAACACAGGAAAAAATAGAAACATGTTTGATTGGTAGAAACTAGCAAACATGTGATGCTAGAATTAAAGCACTAATTAAACCCAAGAATTTGTGTCTCCAACTTCACTACTAAAGTTTTCTGTTTCCTTTAAGTTTCTTTCTCCTCCAAAAAGTCAACCAACTGACACAAACTTAGGAACCAAAATCATGTGCACTTCAAAATTCCAACATATCATATATGTATATATATAATTATATTTTTCTTGATTACATACATATATATTTGTATGTATGTATGTATTTGAGCTCAAAAGATACATAATAAATTACAATAGCATTTTAACCCCCTAGAGGGATTTTTTTTTTTTCTTTTAAGAAAGAAAATACTAATTTGAACTTTTTACTCTTTTTGACTACCCGACTAAGAAAGCATATTCGTCATAAATGTTCTTTCTGTCTATAAATATAAAATTTTACTAGAACCGAACTTAATTTGATCATCATAACTCCGCCGATAAATAGCAAGTGAAATTCTAAATCTCGTTGAATGAAGCATTACGTTCTAACCACCGTTAACCAATAATATTAATAAAGTATAATAAAATTTAAAGTTGTAACCTTCAAAATTGAGTCAAAAAAATATTAATCACTAGATCATATCATATCATGTTGATTGCTAATCTCTTGAGGGTTAGGTTTCATAAAATATAAATCTCTCATTAATTTGATTGGTTAAAAATAAGTTAGAAACAGGTGTAAACAAATCTACAGCCACAAACTAATGCAAAGACTAGATATAGGCCAAAAAAACAAGTCAGTCAATTTGGCAAAATTACATATAAAGAAAAAAAAAAAGCACACCACATGTGAGAGTTTAAAAAGGAGATGGGGACTTGCCATCAACAGATTCCAAACCTTGGATATATATAATATACATACTCTGTATTATATCCCAACCCCAAGTATAATTTTTGTTGATAACATCTGAATAAAGAATAACAAAGGATGACAAGTCAACTTGAGCAAACATTTAAACAAACTCACCTTACAGCCCAAAGCAACAGATTAACCAAAAAGCTTACATATCAAAACTGTAAAGAACTGCAGATATTGATGAACACAAACAAACTACATTAGCAAGTAGAATTTGACATAAACCATGAACTGATCAATATTTACACTACCATGTCTCTGATGGATAAGGAAAGGAGCTAAGGAGGCGAAAAATGTAGCTAGTTTACCTTTCAGATACCATCTCAACAAGAATTCAGGAAGGGATATGGTGACCATATCAAACTTGTGAGAGGCTCTCTCTGTCAACATCCCATATGTTTTCGTCTGCCAAAATTTTAGCCTCGTATGCATACCGTTTTTTACGTTTTGTTTTCTAAATCATCGCTCCTTGTTCCACAAATCCTCTAAAGCATGTGAACAAGGTCCTGGACAACTTCCGATGCTGGTGGTCTAAACCCGGGTTCCAACTACAAAAGTTTTAAACAAGGAAGAGAGAGAAAAGAAAAGGATTTAAGAAAACTTGCTTTTAGAACCTTTTTCTCACTATTTGGGAGGGGCGAGGATGCATTAATCGTAATCTAGAAACAGACCATTATAATGAAAGAGGCATGAATAAACTCACTTGTACACATCGGGATATGATGTCAGCAAAACGAGATAATGACTTGATTGGATACGCTCCATTTACAGCAGGATCAACCATTCTTGATAAGGCATCAATATCATGAAGCTGGGGAATAGCCCATCGAGCTAGAGATTGCTCTGCTCGAGGCCGTGTCCTGCACATTTTTTCCATCAGATATATATTTTTTTCTAAAATCAGGTATTTCAAATTAAAGAAGGCAGACAAGACAGAAATAGAAACAGATGTGAAGACCAAGCAAAAACATTTTACAGTTAATGGTCTTACTAACCTATCATAGGACTTCCGTCCCGTGAGAAGTTCTAACATTACAACTCCGAGGCTATAGACATCACTCTGGCAAGTATAGTTACCAGACTCAAGCTCAATCGCAGCATAACCTGACCACTAATAATGCAGACACCAGTTATCAGTCATAAAGTTATTTCATCTGTAGCAAAAAGAAACAAGAATGTAGTTACTTAGGAAATTCTCTCTCACTTCTGCGCCACACAAATTACTCCCACATTCTTCAAGTAATTCGAGAGATCAATGCCTATAACATCATCTATTAGTTCTTTTTTTTATGCCTCTTATTCGGCTTGTAATTTCTGATTTTCATTAAATTTTCAGATTTCTCCAAGGATCAATCAATTTCAACTATCGGTAAAGTTCACAACTTGATGCAAACCCAGTAAAGATCCCCTTGCAAAAATTACCTCACTTGTGGAGCAAGATGATAATAAAGGAGCCAAACCACAATCCGAAACACATGCTGCAAACTTTTCATCGAGAAGAATATTGGCAGACTTGAAATTTTGGTGCACAATTGGTGGCTGACAGACCTCATGTAGATACCTGTGCCAAAACAAAAAGGATAGAACCTCTTTGATAGTTGTATGACACTATCTGTATTTATATTTAGCAATTTGGTTGCTTTACTTACTGGAGAGCTCTGGCAGCTCCAACTGCTACTCGTACACGTGCACTCCACGAAAAACTTTTATGTATCTCCTCATCAATATGCAATGCATCATAAAGTGTACCATTTCCATAATACTCATAAACGAGTAGCCTTTGACCACACTCGTTACAGTAACCCACAAGCTCCACGATATTAGCATGTTTAAGTCTAGAGATACTCGATACTAAATCAAGAAATTCATCGTCACTCAGTTGAGCTGAAGTTGTAGCATGCAGTTTCTTTATGGCAAGTAACTAAAAAGAAGAATCAAGAAATGCACATCAGATGTCAGTATATGAACTATCAAACAGAATTGCAAGATTAATAAGCCTAATCAGACCTTTCCATCAGGAAGCTCAGCCCTGTAAACACTGCCAATCAGACCTTCTCCAATAAAATTTTCTTCAGAAAAGCTATCTGTATATTGCTGAAGCAATGCAATGGTGAAAACACTAACTGAAGATGAAGTTGTTTTGCTTGAAGAAATACTAGCTGCTTCTTCAGTCATAGCAGGACTTTTGGCAGCATTCTCAGCACGGAGGAATAAGGGGGGAGGTTGTGGTGGTTGCAGCAGCTGGTTAACATTTGCATCAACACGTTTCTTGTGTATCTCATGATCCTTATGCTTTGAACTTGCAGCCATTAGTGATACGTCTATTACTTGTTCAGGGTTCCTAATGGATCCCGTTCTTCTACTGTCTACTTCATATCCTCCTAGAGGTTTCAGCACTGGCTCATGAGGAACTGCCAAAACCAGCACTTCAGAAAAACTAAACATGGATAAAATGTAGAAATTCACCTAAGTCATACAAAAAGACGAACAAGAATGAACTTACCTTTCTCCATCTTGCACATGGACGGGAGTGAAGATTTACTATAGTTAGGCCCCTGTCCAGCGCCCTCATAAGCATCCATATGATGCTTCTCAGAATGTTTCGCCAATTGCCTGCCTGTACAGCAT